CGGGCGAGTAGAGGGTGGATCCCTGGCCTCGAGAGTGCGGCCGTTTGAGGTGAGAGAAGCGGCGGCCACGGCGACCCCCAGTAACTTGGTCCCAGCGAGCAAGACTAGGACCGTGCAGAAGCACGTCGTTGCGCGGAAAGTGAGGCTCTTCGTGTCGTCGATCCGCTGCTCGGCGTGCTGAAGAGGGCAGTAAACCTGTCGGTGAGGGGTTCCGCCAAGGGCAGCCCTTTTCCTGGTCCTTGCTCTCCTCCTGCGGTGCTGCAGCTGGGTCGGGGACCCCGCCTGCGCTCCCCGAGGAACTGACTGCCCGCCGCTGTGTTGCGGTACCCCATGCACCAGCGTGCACCCCGCCGGGCCACTCTGGACCTCTCCGACCCTGGTGCAGGACGAGCGGTCCGTAGTTGGGCCCTGAGGCCAGTGCACCCATTGCCAACGCCGTTTTCTCCGCGGGTGGCCGTTCCGTCCCCGCCGCCGGGACTGGGAAGGTGCGCGGTGCTCGGCTTCATCTGAGCTGTCAAGAATCCAGGCGATTGAGCCTTTCTGCTGCGGGCCAGGTGGTCAGGAGTCTTCCCCGCGGAAGCATCGGGATGAGAATACTGGAGATGCGCCAGGTTTTGGCTAGTTACTTCAGTGCTAAGCTGCTTTTTTGTTCTTTCCAAGGCGGCTTTATGGGCGACTAAGGATCTTTTTGGAAAAGAAAAAAGTCAATAGCTGTATGGCACTGGTGCTTAGCATCCAGCCGCTGCTGGCAATGCTGACAGGTTGACAGGTTTGAGGGTTGAAATAGCTTCCTGCTGATAGTACAGCAAGAAACTCCCGCAAATTTGTTTTAGGATCCGGAACCATGATAGGCGCTGCTGGCTGAGCCACGAATTCTCGGACTATAGCTCCATTCTTTTTTTTTTTTTTTTTTTTGTGATTCCATATGAATATTAGCAGTATTTGCTCTATTTCTTTGAAGAATACCATTGGAATTTTTATTGGAAATCTGTAAATTGCTTTTGGGAAGATGGTCATTTTCACAATGTTAATTCTGCCCAGCCATAAGCAGGGAATATCTTTCCATTTCTTTGTTTTCTATTTTTTTAAAACAGTGTTTCATAATTTTCTTTGTATAGGTTCTGTTCACCTCGTTTTTTAGGTTTATTCCCAGGTGTTTAATTTTGGGGGATGCAGTTGTAAATAGGTTTTCTTGATTGCGTCTTTTTCAGAGTGATTATAAGAAGACTACTGGTTTTTTTTTTTTTAAAGATTTATTTATTTGTGCATACAGAACTGGGGTACAGGCCAGAGGCTCAGGGGCAGCGAGAGGCTTCACCAGAGACAGAGTGGAAAGCCGAACAGGCAGATCTACGAAGTACACTGCTGAGGGGACCAGCGGGCGGGTCAGGAGAGGTCTGCCGCGCCATGTGGTCACCTCCGGGGCAGGCAGGAATCGAACTCATGCGGAAGTGGCTTTAGCTTCTCAGTGCTGTGCTTTAACCCGCTGCGCCACCGGGGAGGGCTGGCTACTGATATTTATGAGATGATTCTATAACCTACTATTTTGCTAAATTAGTGTATTGTTTTAGTTTTCTGTGGCGTTTTTAGGGTTCTCTGTATTTTCATGTCATTTACAAACAGTGATAGTTCTACTTTTTTCCCTATTTGGATTCCTTGTATGCCTGTCTCGTGCCTAAGTTAAGACTTCGGTATTCTGTTAAAGAGCAGTGGTGAGAGGGGCTTCTCAAAGACTGTGATGCTGCGGCTGACTGATGGGCAGTGGCCCCTGAGGTCACAGAGTGTGGGCTTCCGGTCCCTGCCATTTGCACTCCTTCCCTCACAGGTGTGGAGGTTCTTTTTCAAAAGATTAACGTTATTGTCTACATTCCAGTTTTCTTCTGTATGATGCTCTCAAAGAGGAATTCCCTTAGTCTTTGTTCAGTCTGAGAACTGCTCTGTGTGTTTAGCTAGTAGAACCTATTACACATTATATAACTGATAGAATTTCCTTCTGCATTGTTGCTTGAGTTTAGTATCAAATTTTTACTCACCTCTTGCCAAACCATGATTTTCATGGATGTACTCAAATTCTAGGCTTATTCCTTCCTTTCCTTCCCTTGTTGAATTCTAAGCATATTCCTGGCCTTTATCACACTTATACCTACTATTCATTTATATTATTTACATCATATATGTTTTTAATCCACTTAAAATCCTTTCTGAATCCAACCAGACTTGAAAATGCTCTACCAGGTTAATTCATGAGTATGCATGATAAATAAATTTCCATACTATTTGATATAAAGAGCTTTATTCTGAAATAATTACACATTCTTTGAATTTGCACATCAATTCACATAGAATATCTTAGCCTTAATTTCTAAAATTAACTTTAAAAAACCTTCTAGTAAAATGATTACACAGGTTAACTTTAGGTTTAAAGTCTGATTAGCATACTTAATGAAATGTGTCCTAGGACATATTTTTTTACCATTTGAAATGAGTTTGTTTACATTTTGGACTGAAAACAATTCCTCAGTAAAGAACCACTCTATTTCTATATTTCAAATTTTCCAAAAAACAATTTTTTTATGAATTTAAAATAATATTTTTGTGATTGAGCATTACAATTTGTTAAAGCAAAAATCAGAATTGTTTTCAATTGAAGGTATATTTCCAAAGTCAGTATAGATAAGACAAAGACAGATACAGCTTATATAAAAAGCTTCTAGAAATATTTTTAAGCTCAGTGAAGTATATTAAATTTGTTCTTAATGATTCATTTTAAGGACCATGAACCAAAACATCTTAGGAAGAATTTATATGTTAAAATGGATCTATAAATATTCAAACTATAGATAATCTTTATGAATATAAGACAGTGTGATGGAAGTCATTAAAAAACTGACTTTATCTAACCAAGTGTTCCTGAGGCATTCTGGGCATGATGAATCACAGTGATGAGGCCACAGATTTGTCCTGGGCACAACATCTGGGTGATTTTATTATGACTCCCAAAGGGCAGAGATGCTCTAAAGGAAACAGTTTGGTGGGTTAATTTTGACAATAATAAGCTTTACATGAGGGATAGTGAGTATAGTATGACTCAAGCAAGAGGAATTTTTGCCAGAAGCCTGCAATCAGAAGCACAGCTAAGTTCAATACAAGTGACCTTATTTCTACTTGGAGAGAACACTGTGGATACTTGTATTTAAAACAAATTAAAATCAATTGGTGAACTTCATAGAAAGTATATAAATGAATTTCTTGCTTGAACCCCTGTTGTGTTCATTTGATAGTTTAGAAATGTCTGTAAAGTTCTGCCTCTCTACTTTTTACCTTCATCAGTCTACCTGGAGAAAACATGAGGTCAACTATATATTCCTCAAGGGGTGGGGCACCCCCAATTACTCCTTTACGAGATTCATTCATGAGCTTAACTTCATTCCAGGCTCTGCCATACTCCCCTCGAACTAGAGAGCAACCTACGCCAATTTTATCCGCCAGAGCCTGTGGGAGAAAACATGAGATCAATCAAGAGTGAAGAGGGAGAGCAGTGAAAAAAACAAAACAAAACAACCCAGTGTCAAGGCCCATGTTTGGGTGAAGGTGAAACAGGCAACTCTTATAAAGAAGTGCTTAGAAAAGTGCTTGGAGGGGAATCTGGAAAAAATGCAGTATGTTGTGATAGAAGCCAATAAAATATATGGAGGCCTCAAGATTCTGTAGACTCAGAATCTGTAGTCCTGCTGGGAAATGACATTTTTTCAGGCAGTTACACTGCATTGTATCAGCACAAGATTGATAATGTCATTGGGAAAAAGCTGTTCCACAGGCATGAAGCACACTAGCACATCCATCAATCTTTCCACGGTGCTGGGCTGCTCTTTGTGAGTGATATAAATGAAGCAGGACTGAATGGAGGGAAAGACTGGTGGGGACCTATATCCAGTTGATTTATTCTGTTTGATTTGGTGGGTGCAGATTAGGAAGCGCAGAGTCGCCCTCCTTGAGCTCTCTGCTGCCACTTCCCCAGGGGGTGCTTATGTTCCTTGGCAGTTGTTTCTTCAGTTTGTTTTGATTTTAAGAATGTACCTTCATATGGCCTGGAAACATTTTACCTACATCTTCCTGGGTAGGAGAGATTTAGGCTTTAAAGGGGAAACGGCAAATGGAGATTTAGACAGGAGAGAAAGAAAAATTTAGAAGGGTTAACAAATCCAAGGAAGTATCTAAGTCATTTAGGTTCTAAATATACTTAACTGCTTGTAGTGGCAGTGAGGCTTATATGTATTGGGGAAACTGCTTATTTTGTATATTCATTGTTAGATCAGAAAGCATTTTCTCAGTTCCATTTTATGTTAGATACAACAGATCATCCCACCCCTTCTCTTAAGCCTGGTAACTCCTCTAGTGTCTCCTTTAAATGAAGAGTGGCATCACTACCAGTTGCCCTACCCAAATGAATGGATATTACTTTGTTCTCAGCCTCTCAGCCCACATATAGGCAGTCACCAAATCTTAGCTCCTGACCTCTCTAAATTCACCACCTCGTCCACATGCTCACAGTCCTGCCCTTGGTACAGCTCACTTTCGTTTCTTGCTCCAGTGACCTTCCAATTGGCCTTCTCCAGTCTTGCCCCTGTTTTGAGTCATTCCCCATCCTGTGCCTGATTGATCTCTCAAAATTATGTTAGTGCTTTCAGTGGCTATTCAGACTTTAGTATCAAATGCAAAAACACACGCTGATTTATGATCTGATCTTTTAGCCTCATCTAGCACTTCTCCATCCAGACAAATTCCTCGACATTCCTCAAATGGACCATTGACTCTCACATACTGTTATTTTGTATAGAATGTTTACTCTATTTAAAATACTTTTACATTCCTCCTTTACCTGTTAAATCATATGTAGTATCTAATATCCCCACCCAGAAGAAAACCTTTACCTGACACCACTTTTATAAGTCTGATACAGGTATGCCTGGCATGCCCCTTAGTTTCTGTATATTTGCAGCCCTAGAGATGGTCCTGACCAATGAATGCTAAATACTGAATGAATAAGCTAGTAGTGGGTGAGGACATGTGGAGGTACATGTGCATATGTGCATGTATGTATACATACCGTATGTATGTTAATACAGGTATATATACCTATTTAGATATGATATGATTAATATTATCCAATAAAATATTGACATCTGGCTCACTCCATTATGATAAAGATAAAAGTTAACATTTTTATAATGACAATGAGGAAAAACATCCCAAATACCTTGAAAAGCAAAGCTCGATGGTAGAAGATTCCTTTTTTAATAAGTCCAATTGGTATAACATTGGATTTAAGTTGAAATTTTAGTTCACTTATATGAAATTCCCAGCTGAAGTCATTAAGCTTCTCTTTTGAAATTGTACCACCCATTTTTTCTGCCACATACCTGTGTTAATTACATTGAGATCAAATTACTATCTAATTACTTTAGATAGAAGCTTTGAATATATAATTTTAGCTAACTAATTTCCTGACTTCTTTACTTTTTAAAACACGTTTACTATGAGTAGGTTAACATATCTTTATTATATTCAAACTATCATATAAGAAAATGAAATTCTAATAGTTTCATTCAACACAAAGAAATTGCCAACTTTCCAAATATTTGTAAGATAGAAATTGATATTACACTAAAGATTTATCAATACAGTTTTAAAATGTTATATTATCCTTGAAAAGTATTTTTAAATGTTTTAATATAAAGTCCAATGCATTGTACTAACACATGATCTTTTTTTTTCTTAAGAAATCAATCTCAGAGACAGAAAATAGGCAACATTTAATTATGATTTTTTTCTTTTAAATTTTTATTTTTAAAGAAAAACATTTATGTAATACTGAAGTTAAAGAAGAGAGGAAGAGGCAAACAGAAACATAAGTAACTTAGAAGGGGAGGAAGATGAAGTATGGGGTAACTTAATTAGAAAAACTTGATTCATTCACTACAATTCAGGTTCACACTGAAAGAGGCTTTTAATGGCATCTTTCTACAACCAATTTCTAGTTTCTCATTCTGAAAAAAATTTGAGAATTTTTTTCAATTAGTGTATTTCTGCTTCAGAGGCAGATGTAAGGCGGTATAAAGTTCTACTTTGCTAAAATATATTGTAAAAATTTGCTAAAAATTGCAAACCACTAAAATAACATTTTTTCAAAAATTGAAATGTATATGTACTTGTAGACAACTTACTTTGCAAGAGTCTCAATCTGTTCCTTAATATTTGTTATGGGAAGAATTGACTTTGTCACTTCATGTACATATGCACAGAAGTCAGGGTCACAGGGAGGGTGCCAGTCTTTTTCAGGGCTTCCTTCTCCAGTAACTTTTAGGAATGCTGTGTCCTCTTCATCCTCCTTCAGTTTTTCTTCTTCTTTCTTTCCTTTGCCTTTTCTTTGAGAAAAAATAGCAGCAGTCAAAATCACAAAATAAGCACTGTGCTTTGAGTTAAATTAGGGTATCATAGAAGACAGTATCAAACTGTCTTCATAGTCACTAATTCTGTTCTTTCTCATCTCCACTCTTATCATTTCCACTCCAAATCTCTAAAAGTCTACAATGAGATTTGTTTCTGTTTTCAGTTCTATAATTCTTATTTGTTCCTTTTTAAACTGTGTCTTTCTAAGCGAGATTTGTTACTTTTTCAGTTATATCAGTTTAATTTGTATTTGTTCAATCATGTTGTGATGACGGTTTTAAAATTAAATTCAGATAATTCCAACATCCAGTTTATCTGTGTTTACATGAACTGACTGTCCTTTTTTATTTATTGTGATTTACTTTGTTCATGTTATAAGGACTGAGTTTTTGATAATCTCCTGGCCATGTTATATATTATGGTAGGAAATTCTGGGTCTGTTTACTGTTTACAAGCAGTCACTCTGTTTATGCTCAACCTGTGGGCTACAGGTTTTACTTTTGTGGTGTATAAGAGAGCTTAATTTTAAGAGTTTGGGTTATGGTTTGTGTGTCATTCTTCATCTCAGACCTTTACAGCTGCTAAAAAAAAACTTCCTTAAACTGGATGGTGTATGAACAACAGACTTATTTCTCACATTTTTAGAGGTCAGCATTTCCACCAGTGGGCTGTTAGGAGTCAGTGTCTGGTAGGAATCAATTTCTTGCTTCCTAGATAATCAGTCTTCTTTGTGCTCCCTGGGGTCTCTTTTATGAGGACTTATTTCCACTTATGAGAGCTCCACCTTCATATCCTAATTATGTACCAAGACACCATCTCAAAATACACTTACACTGGGGCTTAGGCTTCAATATATGAATTCTGAGTAGAAACATTTAGTCTATAGCAGTTTTCTTGGTTTAACAATATTTCTGGGACTTGTACACTGCAGGCTCTCTCCCAGGCTTAGAGAGTCCAAGAGCCTTTCCAAGTCAGGCTTGTAATGGCAGAGTCCTCCAGCCGGTGAAAGGTGGGCATGTATGCCAAGGTCCCCTCACTACTGTATCTCACTCTGGCTGTCTAGGTAAATGTGGTGAGTCTACGGCCTGTGGGAACAACTTGTAGTATTTAGTTTTTTCTTGTTAATGCCACATAAATGCTTTACTATCTTTTGGCTGGAATGGGGTTGGGGTAAGTGAGGCAGAGTAGTGTCTGGCTTAGCAGGAAGTACGTTCACTTGATCTAGCAACTTATTGTTAGTGTGGATGCAGTCATTTTCTTTGTTTCTGGCTCTGGTATTGTCTAGTGTTGTCAGAGGATCAACTATATTGTTTTCCTCTGCCAGGGGAGGGGCAATAGGTTTTCTGTGGGGTTGGTGGGGCATGTAAGATGTCCAGCTTCTCTTTTGTTCCTTTACTCTTAGACTCCCCATCCAGTTCCTTTTACAATGTATATGCATGTCAAAGCATCACATTTTACTTCTAAATATATACAATAAATTTTTGTCAGTTCATGTCATTTTGTCAATGTGTATGAGAATAAAAAAATTGATGATAGATCTTAGAACTGTAAAACCTAGAAGCATCCAATTTCTAGAAGAAAATGTAGTACAAATTCTTAATATGTGACTAGATAAAGAATTTCTAAACATGGCAAAAAAAATCATCAAAAATCATCAAAGAAAGATGATAAAAACTTGCTCCAAAAAAAAAAAATACTACTAAGGGAGTGAAAAGGTAAGGTAGAAGATAGTCAGATGTGGAAAGAATATATGAATTTGTCAGGCCTAGAAAATATAAAGCCACATAATTATTCCAATCAAGTAAGGATTTTTGTCCATGATCCCCCTCTTCTCCCTCCGACACTTCCTGCAGGGAGATTCTGAGAGTCTGGTAGGGGTGAGGAAGTCGAAGGCCTCCCAGTGTGTGCAGCTCACCACCACCGAGAAGGGCAACAAGTTCAAGTTCATTACTGACCCTTAAATGACTGACTTGAGACTACTGTTTTTGTAGTCTGTTTCTAAATTAAAGTGACTGTAGGATTTTATGATGATGGCAGTGATCTGAGTTCTCACCCAGAGGCAAGATAAGAAATTCCCTCCAGCTAAGTTTAGACAGACAGGGAGGGTTAAAATTACTTTTAAATTGTATCTGTGAGTCCTGCCTGGTTCAACGTACTGATTCATAAGGACATCTTCCTATTTAAAAGCTAACCTATCCTTTCACCTACTTTTTTGCATAGTTAAAAACATAATGTGATTATATTTAGAAGACTGTAATAACATATTTCTTACTTTAATCCTCTTTCTTTGATGGCACTCTTGCTAAGAGCTGTATTTCGTCCAGAAGTAGGTTCTGATTTCTCTTCTGTGGGAGACCCAAATCCAGCACTACTTTTTCTTATCATTTGAAAAAGAAAATACAACCAATTATGATAAAAATAACAATATGTTACACTTACAAGGCATTTAATAATCTGCGAGGCATTTACACTTTCTTGATATGCTTTGATTCCTTTCACCATCTTGAAGCAGAGCTGCAGGCAAGAGTCCATCTACAGATGAGGAAACCAGTCCTGCTCCCCGACACTAGGTCCTGCTGTCAGTCTCACTGTGGGGTCACAGCAGACACGACATGCAGCGAGGTTTTCTGACTCCCTTTACAAAGGCTTAAATAATTTTCCATAGTGATTCTAAATGCACTTTTTTACTCCCAAATTTAAGGGAAGAAGTATTTACGTATAGATAAAACTTACATGGACTTTTCTTTACTTGTTCTCCTTAAAGAAGATGAAGAAACACGTCGTCCATCACCAACATCTGATGATTTATCTTCACTAGATGGAGGTGGAGAACTAGAATATTACATATTTGAAACTATTTGTCAGTATTGGCTTTGACCTATAATACATTCTGTTTAAATCATGTTTTAAGCTTATTTATGACAAAACTTATTTATAAAGTATAAAAGAGCAGTTATGACAAGACCCGCAAAATATTACATAATATCCCTCTAAAAAAGGAAATATTTTTATAAAACGTGTCATAAGTATACAGATATAATGGTATATGCAACAGTCATAATTCAACAGATATAATGGTATTTGTGACAATTGTTTTGTTACTAGTTCAACTATTTTATATTAAGAAAAAATACTGCATAATAGTTTTGGAGACTTGCAAATGTGATTCACCTTAGTTTGCTCCAATCTATACTTTCTTAACTTACTTCATGTTACCAGGAATTAAGATGCCTGGATTACAGAAATACTATAGTCAAAAGAAAAATCAAGGTGGCATTTATTCTTTAGTCTTTACCATGCAGGTTATGGTGTACGAACCAGTGTTTACTATTATGGTGGTAATATCTTCAGGGAAAAGGAGTTACCATGCTGGACACACAAAAATCACATGCTTCCCTGCATCCCTCTTCCCTCCAAAGACTCACACATCAGAAGGTTTACTGTTAATTAAGAGTATAGCTCGAAGACCACTTGGTTCTTGCACGCAGAGTTCCTTCAAAGGCAAAAGTTTGGTGCCACGATTTATCTGTAGATAATTTAAGGACTTTTAAGTAATATGTGCATGGGCATATGTTAAAAAATAAATATTGATAGCATATGTTCTCAACTGTTTTGAGTTGTTTACTCTCTCTTTATCTCTCTCTCTCACACACAATTAGAATAGGAGCCTGAAACATGTGGAACTCTGGCCTTGGGACAAAGTATATTCCTCCATTTTCGAACAACCTCTATTGCTGATACCCATCTGTTTCACACAATTATCAGCTTGACACCTGAAAATATAGTTTAGTTTGCAAGTCTATCTATATACATAAGGAATAACTTACTGTCTATTTAAGCACTTAATTACTAAATAAATTTGAAAATATCTAAAAATTCAGTTACAAAAATAATGTTTAAAATCAAGTTTTCTGATTTGGTTATTTTCAGTAAGATTATGGCTAATAAAAGGAAACTTTATGCTTCTATTCTTGTCACTAAACTGAGACCTAGAGGAAAGAGAACCCTAATAGTGAAAATGCCTCTTCTTTTTTATTTGACACAGCAAGTTAGCATCAGCAAAATGACTTAATTATAAGTAAACAGAGTCTCATTGAAATTGTACACAAAAGCAAAATGTTATAGCTAGACAAAATGAAGCATAAAGTTCTGATTCCTGGGTTTTTGTCTACAAAATACAAATGATGTTAGCTAGTTACAAAGTTGCAATGTAGTGGCATGACAATTAAAAAAAAAGTTATCATAGGCCCTCCCTGGTGGCGCAGCGGGTTAAAGCACAGCACTAAGAAGCTTAAGCCACTTCCACATGAGTTCGATTCCCGCCTGTCCCGGAGGTGACCACATGGTGTGGCAGACCTCTCCTGACCCGCCCACTGCTCCCCTCAGCAGTGTACTTTGTTGATCTGCCTGTTCTGCTCCCCACTCTATCTCTGGTGAAACCTCTCACTGACCCTGAGCCTCTGGCCTGTACTCCAGTTCTGTATGCACAAATAAATAAATCTTTAAAAAAAAAAAGTTATCATACATACTGAAATATAATTTGGTGCTGCCACTTACCTGACCATAATCATAGAATCCATCATTAATTATATTACTTGATGACAAATAGCCCGTCTGGCTATATTTCAGGGACAGGTTGTTGTTGAGCAATTTGTTATAAGCTGCCTCACTGAATTTATTTTTTCGAGTTACTGAAAGATTAATTTCTTCAAGGATATCTAAAGCTCTGTCAATAAAAGCAAACAGTATTATTTGCTTTCTACAAGCAACTCACCATTACTGGAGTTCTCATTTATATACCTAGCTGAAATCTCAGTGAAGGATTGAGATAGGAAGTTTAAAAGCTATTCCTGAGAAAGGGTCAAAACGTCCACCCCTTGGGAGAGCAAAACCAACAGCTGCTAAGTTCTTGGATACCACTATAGGCAGTGATTCTCAAGCTCTTTGGCTACAACTTTATGAAATATACTTTTATTATATTCTGACCTACTATATACATATACATTACAGATCTGAAACAGAAGCTTTAAAAAACAATACTCTTAGGATATGTATGTAAACTGATATTATCTATTCTTAACTGTGGATTTCTATTTTTAAAAAAACTGATCACAGCTCATTAAATTCATTTTAAAAAAATTGCTGTACTATACTAAATCTACTCAAAATTGCGTCATTAAAAAAAGAAAATAAAGGTATCCCTGAACCTTTTAGATCAGCTCATACTAATAGAATCATGTAAACAAATTCAATTTGGGGAACATAAATGTCAAACAGTAGTCATGTTAAAGTTTTCAGAAAAAATTTTTTTTTCTCCATTTAAAGCAGTAGTTTCAGCTACCAAATTTTTCAGCTCTTTAAGTGATAGACGCAAAGAATAAAAACGGTTAGAAATGCAGTAAACCTGTGTGTGGAAACCATATTTAGTGACCTGTTAAGGCAACTGCTCATCTGCTGTTGGGAATGAGGAGGAATTTGGAAGTTAAATGTGCAATTCTGATGAAAAGGCTTGTGTGGGAAGGAGAAAATTGGAGATGGTAGCATAGATTATCCATTTTAAACAGGACTTTGTTTAGCAACAGCAGAGGAAAATGAAAGAGAAGCATTATCAAGATGGAAAACATGGAGGGGTAAGTAAAGCAGGTAAAAAGGGTTCACTGTGCAGGAGGATGGAAATAGGTCTTTGGACGGTGACACAGGGTCCTGTGTACAGATGTTGAGTTGTAATGCTGTATGCTTGACACCTATAGAGTTTTATAGACCACGTTACTGCATATTTTTAATTACAAAAGTTTCGAATAAATTTTCTTAAAATGTTTTGAAGATTAAAAAAAAGTGTGAAAGGGTTTGTTGACGATGAGTCTGTAAAGGTGGTGGCTTAGCTCTGAGGGAGGGAGATGAGTGTGTACCACCCACCCTCTAGGCTGTCCCTACAGGGAAGACCTGTGTTGTGACAGCTGAGAGTGGGTGCTGATGCTTCGAAATTCCTGTGCTTGAAGCCCCTGCTGCTTGATTGTCTCATCTTCATTTGGTTCTGCAACTTGGCACAGCATCCACTCACCCAAGCCGGAAGAATTCGGTGGCCATCAATTCATCGCTGGCGCAGACCATCACAGCCCAGCTCGCGTGCCTCCGGACTTCACTATTCTTAGAGCGCAGGAGCTCCACCAGGGGCTCCAGCCCCCCTAAATTTCTTAACTGAAAGTAGACATCAAAAATGCTGTGCATTAAGGGTACAGGATGTAAGCCTCTGTGCTTTAAAATATCTCACTATTTATTGTGCAAGGTGTTTTCTATGAGAAGAGACAGGAGGCAAGACTTGCAGAACTGCAGGGTTACAGGGCGTGTGCCTGTTGGCCAGGTAACACCAGTTGATTTTGCAGAATACTGTACCAATCGTGAAGGACTTAAGAGCTAGGTTAGTTCAAACACCTGACACTGTTTCAGAGTGATCCGCCAATGAGCGTGGCCTGAAAGAACGAGAGAATCCACGTTGCTAGAACACTCACCTCTGTCCGGGCCTCAAAGTCACAGGCAGTGGCAGCGACGGCCAGAGCCGCCTTGCTCTGCACCACGGTGCTGGCCGAACGCAGAGGCCCGAGGAGGGCCTGCATGACGCCGCGGGCCTGGATGGCCACGCGCAGAGGCTCCTGCATGGCCATGTTGGTTAAGGCGGCCGCAGCACTGGCGATGGCCCCTTCCCGCGTGCTGGACAGGGTGTTTATTAATGGGCCGATCCCATCAGCTTCTGCGACAGCGCTGGGTACACGAGGGAGAAAGGAAAACATCTTGGTGCACAGACAGCTTCTAAATGAGTACCTAAGTTAACTTTAGAAATAAATTAATACACAATATAATGGACCCATTGATGGGTTAGACATTTAAGATACCTGGGAGAATGTTAGTTATAAGAGAGATTTATAGAAAAAATGTATCTTTTCTTCTCAGAAGCCCTAGTACAACTGTTCGTTTGTGAAATAAATGTTACTTTCAAAACTAGAAAATTCAATTAAAAGACATCCATTAATATATACTGTAGAAAAACAAAACAAATAGAATGTGTGAGATGGAGAACTCTCAGGTTAAAATTCTTGGCCCATCTTACACTTTTGAATTAGGTTATCACCTATAGGCAGGAGTTAACACATATGAAATAAAAAAATAATTCTGGAGGTGGTACTGCATTTACAAATCAAGGATCAACATCATAATCTTGGCATGAATGAGGAGTTTAATAATTTAGGCATATTCAGTTGTTATATTTTCCATTTCCAGCACACAGCCATTGATTTATTAATGTTTCACAATTATAAAGTCTAGTTTTTACTAACTGCTCCCTAGTCCTTACTTTTAGTGACTTAAAAGTTGGTAAAACATTAAAAATGTTTTAAAAATCACTTTAATAAGATTTGACTATATCAGTAGTGCTTGGAGTTACTTCAAATAAGTAATGTTCCAAGGAGTAAAACCCATGGACCATCTGGTTTACAAGAATATCCCAAATTATGTGCTAAAATCCACTTAAATCATTGTGGTAATAAAGATAATCAAGATATATAGAAACATGAGATTCTTATAAAATGAACATAGCTGTATCACTTCACCTAGGATAATATCAATCAAAACAAAACAAAATAGTGTATATGCTAGATTATCCCTTGGATTCCTGTGAATTTAGATTGAATTTTGACTATCATTTGCTGATTATGAATGAGGACAACTTGAGGAACAGATGTTATCACAACCATCATCGAGCGAAATACAAAGAGAACTTCAACGAGGAAACTGTTAGCCAAAGATGGAGGAGGCCATGCTCCTAGAACTAATCAGATCTTCCAGGGGGTGAAAGAGCAGGGGTTAAGCAGGAAGCAAAGACTAGAGGGGGAAGATCTGGAATGAGGGGTTCAGTTGGTGTTACTGAAGGCACCTTCCACCTCTAATACAAATGTTCGCAGAAACACACCATACCATCATACTCAGCAAAATCAGTGCCCAATTCCATTTCTCCATACTCCAGTCCTTGGTGTATATTTAGTCCCTCCTGGGCTGTCTCTCATTCTTTCTCTGTGAGGGTGTCCCTTACAATCAAACATTTTATGGTCCTGCTCAACTGTCCTTTCTGTGAAGTCACCCATGTCCATTACACCCTTGAGAGTTCACTCACACCGACAATAACATCTGCACCTGGTACCTGCTCTCAATGGCAAGACCTGAGTCTTGTCTACACCCTGGTACTGAGAAGACCAATTCACGGTTGTCTCTTGAATGTGGGTTTGAACTGTGTGGGACACTAATACAGGGTAGAAACCCACCAGGGGAATTGACAAAGACGACTTAATGGAGATGGTGGGTCTGAACCAGTGCCAGGCAATAAGGAAGACGCAGAAGAGGCAGAGCCAGACAATATACTGAGGCTGCATAATGTGCCAGTTAGAGGAATGCAAAGAGATCAATAAGGCAGAGAGAAACATCTTGTTGGGGGAAATTTTGAAAAGTTCAGAGTGTGAGAGGGGAAAGAGAGAAGTTGCAAGGGTGTGGACTAAGAGCCTCAACTCATGCCAGCTCCCTGTGGGTGCAGTTTCACCTGCAGTTTCAGTTCCCTGTTATCAGCTGTGGTCTATTACATACAAAAATCTATCTTGAGAGACCAAATTCATATAACTTATTACTGTATGTTATTATAAAAGTTCTATGTTATTGGTTGTTGTTAATGTGCCTAATTCATAAATTTTCTCATGGGGGTATTTCTTTATGTGTGTGTGTGGAGAGAGAGAGAGAGAGAGAGAGAGAAGGACTGATTTTCTAGGGTTGCCATTATCTTCAGTTTCATACATCTTGAATCATATTCTCTGCAGATCAGGGAGGATAGCTGTACCTAACAGCCTTGGTGTGATGGTCTGTCCCACTTCTGCTACCCTGAGCAAGGACTGTGCCTTTGTGTCCTTACCTGCAGAAAGAATCTGACAATTTTCCCTAGCCCACAGGATCAAGGGCTCAAGCATAAATCCATTTCTCACACTGTGGGAGCCACAGGGCAGAGATTTTCCATGACCCTGTCTGTTTCTTCCATTACATAAAACTATGACCCTATGTTCCAGTTGGCAAGGGTATATGAAATTTTCATTTTCAGGCCACTTTTCAGCTAGACAGTCAAATTTCAGGGCCTGCTGGAGTAGAACTGGAGCAATAGTCTCAGGAATCCAACCCAAATCTTTTCATTTAGAGGTAATCAACGAGTAATGAGGGCCAGTTCCAGAGCAAAGAAAAATGGAAAATGATTAAGTCAGGAAGAGTAAAAAAAAGGGACTTATGTGGGTTTTAAGTGCTAAACATTGAAGGCAAGAGAAAACACACAATTTTCCTCTGAAAATCAATAATGTATCAGAACTTTAAAAAGAGGTTCTCTAATGTCAGTCTCTTCCCCAAGCAATAAAGCAGCTTGTAACTGAATTCTAACTGCACATTTCACAGTTCCATATTCACCTAGACCCACAAACCTGGTGGCTAGTGAGATTCATACTGTTCATGAAGGCAGACTATACAGTAACAGACACAAAATTGGGATGTAGAATTAAACTTTAATTGCAAAATCTAGTATATATATTACTCTACTTAATTCTTCAAATCCACTGTGACTTTTCCAATACAGTAAAATCTATGTTTATAACATTCCCTCAGGCAGTGGGCATCAAGGCTCTCATGAAATATATCCACTCTGTGAACTTGGATGGACACAGTGCAAGAATAATTCTTAGGTTTACCATGAAAACTCTTCCGTCTATTTTACCATTTAATTGCAGAAGCCTTTTAAAATAGCAAACAGCATGTTAGGTACATATATAAAGTATTCTTCTATTATTCCTTTGAAACATCCTTATACAAAGCTGAACTTATTATAAAAGGTTTAAAAACAATCTCAAGTTATCTTGCAGGATTCTTATACTGTGGACATCTAGTTCAGAGGGTAAATCATCTACAACAAAGTGATTAAAAATAAGGCTTTCAGGCCCTCCCTGGTGGCGCAGCGGGTTAAAGCACAGCACTGAGAATCTAAAGCCGCTTCGGCATGATTTCGACTCCCGCCTGCCCCAGAGGTGACCACATGGTGTGGCAGACCTCTCCTGACCCGCCCGCTGCTCCCCTCAGCAGTGTACTTCGTTGATCTGCCTGTTC